CCCCTAGAGGACACAGTTCGAAGTTCCCATGAAAGGGAACTCTGATTAAGCACATTTTCCTTAATGGTGATTTGTTGTCAAATTTGTGATTTCAGGTTTTCCTTGAAAAATTTGTAGTTCACAATAGGCAAAATCCACACACTGACACTGACACTCACATACAAATACACACACACACACACACACAAAATCTGTCTTTCTCTTAATTAATTACTTGTGTATGTAATTCTTAAATATAGAAACCTGAAATAGACATTTGCATTCACACTATTTCACACTTCTTAGCTTCTGCATTTGAGCACATCCAAACAAACATATGGGAGCAAGATAGTACACACACACCCTCATGGAAAATGGGCCCATTCTGCCAATTGCAGAGAGTTGGTTTGGAGGGGTGTGAGTGTGTGCTGTATTATTTCCTCATTGCACCATCTCACTGCTCATTAAAGGTCATTTACATTTACTCCATATATTACCACAGTTTTAAATAGTGTGTTGAGTTTCATACGAGTGAACAGGGTTAACAAGTCCCATTCATTTTGGAGCACATTATACTGGTGTCCCTAGCTAACAGGACATCCTTGACCAACCAGTCTCATTAGAAAGATCAAGCTGGACAACAAGGCTTCACTAATGTCTAGCAAACAGCATGGCTCTGTTGATCCACCAGCCAGACCAGCACTAGCCAGTATAACCTACGCTTCAAGCTGATATAAACTGGTCTTTTTATCTGGGATATCTCCATTGGGAGCCTGTAGTGTGGTGGGAAATTGGGAATCAGACCTTCTCCTCCTGCTTTCTCCTGCTCTTCCTTGCACTGGTTCTTCATGCTGATTTCGGCCCGCAGTGTGGTGAGCTCCAGCTCGTACTCCTGCGTGGTGCCGCGCAGACGCTCCAGTTCGGCGCGCAGACGGCACAGTTCCTCCTGCAGCAGGGCGATGTCATTCTCCCGCTCGGCTGCGGCCTCCTCCGCCGCCTGCTGCAGCTCCTGCACCTCCTCCTGTGCCTCACGCAGTTCCTCCTGCGCCTCCCACAGCTCGCTGGCCTTCTCCTCCTCAAGACTGTCCAGCTCCTCCTGCACCGAACGCAGCTGAGCTGTGGGTCAGAAACAGGAACACAACAATATTTTCAACTACAAATTGAGTAACAAAAAGTATTGCAGTACAGTGATGGCATAATATGTTAATACAGTGGTACTGTGATATGTATCAAAGCATAAAATAAAACCATATTCATACAGCACGGTTATTGGGAATTAAGTGAGAAAAAAAAGTACTTTTTAGTGCCTAAAAAGTTTTAAAATAAGACAAAATAATAAAGGATAAATGACAAACTGATTCGGGCAGCACAGGTTTGATTTTTTTGTGTATGAATGAATATCTAAAAAACAACTTCTGTTTTCCTCTAATGATGCTTTATACTGCCTAATATTTCTCAATAGTATCTGAAACAGTATGCAGGATACAAAAATTGACACTTTAAACAGTGGGATGATATACATTTTATTTCTGTTTGTGATAAAAACAAATTACACAAAAAAAAATTTAATTCATATGTTCAAATGTTTCTTGTGCATACACTTCTACAACCTTATGAGTTGACAACTAACTAATAAAATCCATGCAACATTTACTGTATATATGTGCTGTTTAAGGACCATTTGAGGTCTATAATCAGCCACTTCACTGAACGCCAAGGACATTTGAAGTGAAAAATACAGGCCTTCCGATTCACGTCTCATTACAGAATTCACTCAGTACGTCCAGCTGTCAAGTAGCAAAAAAAATGTCAAAACCTCTCAAACTAACCACACAAAGTATGAATTTTAGTCTGCAGGGGCTTCTGGAAAACTATAATCAGTCTCCTTCTTGCAAGGCAGGAAAATGGATGGTAAAAAAAACGCTTTGGCACAGGCTGTGATTAAACCGAAGAGCCGTTTCTTCAGCGTGTGAATCTGATTCTGGCAGTGGTTTGTTGTGTTATTCATATCTGTGATTCCATTACTCATGATGGTACCTCGGCACAGCCCGTGCACTTCTGCAAACGCTGGTTTACGTTGCCTCCTCACAGTTCATTAAATTTAATTACAACACAGCCACTGAGAGAGTGAAAGGGAGCCACTGGGGAAGTGAACAACAATTCCATCATCTCTGCTTTTCCCATTTCTCCCACTGGCCCTCTCTACTCCCTCTTGCACCCAAGCAGCACTCGACCAAACTACTGGAAACGAGATGTTCAGGGTTGAAGGACTCTGTGGTAGTTACCGGACTGATTGAGATAATCTCCATCATGATACAATCACAGAT